AAAAAAAACTATAAGCTAGCGAGGCTGGTATACTCTTACAGAGGCCATGCCCAATTCGTGGAAGGCCTACAGTGGAAGAGCACACGAATAATTTCTTCCAGAGTCAGAGGATTTAAGTACTTTGGACAAGAAATCAAGAAATGTTAGCATCTTCCCGAAGTTATTTTTGAGGGACAATGTTTACTTTGTGTACCATATTTTCTCTTTATCTGGTGGGGGCCAGGGGAGACCTATGCAGAGACATCACTCCAATTAGATAAATGTTCTTTGGAAAGGCTATGACACAATAACATTCCTATGCTCTTGCCATCCCCATAACTGGATGTGTTCATTTACTTCTAATTTACGTGGCTGCAAATGGGGGGGAGAGAAATATTCAATGTGCTTTTCTTACCATGTTTACTAACAAGCTTCTGCAGTTGTTGATCTAAGTACTCCTGACGTTTTGTTAACGCATTTAGCCATTTTCTACGTAGTCTCTCTAAATCCCGATCCTGGAAGAAAACAAGGGAAATGACAGTAAATATAATGTGTAGGCGATATATCTAAAACCGATGCTCTATCTTACCTTACTCTAATGTGCTTCAAAAATGTTAAGTATCCTATATAATAAAAAGCTAATATGCAAATTGTCCCCTTGACAGGGAGTTTGACCAGGGGGCAGGGTCAGTCAGCCAACCACCCACGATCCCTCCCCCGAGCTGGCCTGGCCCAATTGGGATGGGCTGGCCGGACCCCACCTGTGCATGAATTTGTGCACCAGCCCTCTAGTTATTTCGGGGACGATGGGGGGGAGGACAAAAGGGGGGAAGGGGTTGTGGGAGGTTGACTGTGGGAGCACACTGACCACCAGGGGGCAGCTCCTGCGTTGAGTGTCTGCCCCCTGGTGGTCCGTGCATGTCATAGCAACTGGTTGATCCGCTGTTCCAGTCATTCTGGTTGAAACAGTCACTTAGGCTTTTATATATACAGATGTCTATTATTGTCACTAGTTGGCTCCAGCCATTATTCAGAACAGTAACTTTCAGAAATTAAAACATCATCATTAGGGTAAGACTTTCTAAAAAGCTACGCTCTGATCTCCAGAACCAGTTTTTTATCAGTGTTGGATAAAAATTACAAATGCTACTCAATAATCTTCATATTTATATCCCTTAGGACCACCGTAAGAATTCTTCAAAGTTCTTCACTACAGTCTTCAACATCTTGACTAGTCTTCATGTTTCTCTCCCTTGGTTTGGTGGGGGGAGGGGAGTGAGAACAGGGGCATTATCAACAGCCAAACAATTCTGCCTGTCAACACCTGACTGTACACCAATCTCACCTCATTTCCTTTTGTAATAAAGGTACAGGACTGGGTAGATCAGTGGAATGCTGTGGATATGGTATGTATCTGGATTTCACTAAGGCACTTAACCAAATAGCTCATGACATTCTTGTGGACATGATGGAGAAATGTACAATGAGTCTACTTGAATGAGATCAGAAATGGCTGAAATATCACATCCAAGGAACAGTGATTGATGAAATAATGTCAGCTTCAAAGAAGTCTCTATTGTTGTGCCATAGGACTTTGTATTTAACCCTCTCTGATACAATGTTTTTATCAGTGACTTATATAGGAAGGCAGACATTTTTATCAAATTAGAATGATGCAAAACCAGGAGAGTGACTACACTGGATGACATAATCAGGATCCAAAGAGCTCTGAGAGTCCTAACAAGACTAACAAGATAAAACTTAACAGACATACACAGAATCTTACAGATTAGAAAAAGGGGAGGGGCAGGAGGAGATACAAAACCAAACCCGTATAACTGCATGAAGTGGGAGAAGAAATACCTGGCTTAAAATAAGGCAAATATCTAGGAGCATGGCTTGACTGAAGAGCAGTATGACAGCTCTTATCGAGAAAGGGGTGGGTGAGTCCACTCAAGGACAGAAAAAATAAGGTAGAGAATCTGCAGAAATAGATCTGTAGGAAACCTGGGTGGAGAGCTCCAGGTTTGGAAAAGGATAAAGATCACAAATGATTCCCAACCTAAACAGACTGTACAGGCTATGGCTTTCCAGTCCATGACACACTCATTCTTCCCTACTGTATTAATCTGAGGAAAAGCAATATTTCAATCAGAATTAATTGTGTTATTATTAAGTAACAGTATAGTAAGACTCAGGAATGGGTACTTTAATCAAGCTTATATGATGAGACTAACAGGTACTTCATTACCTGGTAGCTATCCATGTCTTCCTCTTCATCCTGAAAGAAAAAAATACATTATGCAGAACTGAAACAGTTATCCAAGCATCAGGCAATGCTAAACAACCTGAATCTTTCCCCAGACTTCATATTTTCTAATTTAATGAATAATATACTGCTTCATCTCCCGCCCATGTTCCCCTCACTCTTGGCTTGATAGTTTTCAGAAAGTTGGAGTAAACCCTTGAGCTTCTTATGGGAAAATGAAGAACATACATTTGACCTTTTTCAGGAACCAGTACAATACTTCCCCTGCTGGGTTTATAGTCCCACTCCCCAGGGGAAATCAAACACCTGCTGGCAGACAGTCTTTACAAGCCAGTGGGGGGTTTCTGCAGAGGGTGGTGATGGAGGAGGTTAATCAGGAGTAGGCACTGAGGACTTTCTGGAGGCTGAGATGTTTGATTAACCCTCAGCTTGACACATACTAGGGCAAAACCAACAGTCCAGTACAGTGAAATACCAGGTTAAAAAAAAAAAAAAGACAGCAAAGGAAAACAAAAGGAATACTGAAAGAATTATTCGTGGAAGGCAGTTTCTGACAAGTTCCCAGATACTCTCACCTAATGAGTCTTTCTACAAGAACATAATAGGCAGAGTAACTCACATGGAAGGTCTCATGCGTCTTCGGGGATCTGAGTGCTCTAACTTTTACACACCCAATGCCAACGGACAATATACTTTCTTCCATCAGTGGTAACGTCCCAGACTCCTGCACAGTCTTCACTTCCACTTGTACTCGCCGGGACTGCCCCTGTATCACAATTTTAAGAGTTTCTTGAAATTGGTTTGATTTGTAAAAATTTGGTTTACAGAGACCTCTACAGGCTGATGTTAGGAAAAGCATTTAATTTGGAGATACTATCCTCATATTTTAAATGTGAAATAGCAAACTACCAACTGAAAAGCTAATCATGAAAAATTAGCTTTTAAGCAAATAGAAAGTCACAGAACAAATATATGGTTTACACATTTTTAACAAGAAACGTTAAAAGAAAACATTCTAACAAAAGAAACGAAAATAGCTAGACCAGCAGTTCTCAACCTGTGGGTCGCGACCCCTTTGGGGGTCGAACAACCCTTTCACAGGGGTCGCCTAAGACCATCGGAAAACACATATATAATTACATATTGTTTTTGTGATTAATCACTATGCTTTAATTATGTTCAATTTGTAACAATGAAATTGGGGGTCACCACAACATGAGGAACTGTGTTAAAAGGTCGTGGCATTAGGAAGGTTGAGAACCACTGAGCTAGACAATAAAAAATGTTCAACTTACTAATAATCAAATAAATACAAATTAAAATTAGCACGATACATACTTATTTCACTTACTAAGCTGACAATTATCTTTTAAAAAGGCAATTTCCAATATTGCCCAAAGTAATTAAATTACATACACTATTTGTGGGAATATAAATTGGTAAAGCTTTCTGCAAAGCAATTTGAATAAAAAAGTTACGTTTTCCTTGACCCAGCAATTCAACTTTCTGGGAATATCTTCTAAGTAAATAATGATGTATGCATTTAAAGAATCAGAAAGCAATGTTAAGAATAACAAAAAACTAGTTATAAAATTAAATGCAAAATATTGGTAACTGCTTAAAACTTTACTATATATAATAAAATGTTGTCATTAAAATATAGCTGTAGAAAAATATACATGATATTTTAAGTTAAAGAGTATAGTGACAGATGTTACCTAGACTTTTTAGAAAAGAGCAGATTGGCCAGTGTGGCTCAGTGGTTGAGCATCGACCTATGAACCAGGAGGTCACAGTTTGATTCCTGGTCTGGGAACGTGCCCAGTTGCAGGCTCAATCCCCAATAGGGGGCGTGCAGGAGGCAACCTCTCAATGATTCTCACCATTGATGTTTCTGTTTCTCTCTCCTTTTCCCGTCCTCTCTGAAATCCATAAAAATATATTTAAAAATAAAAATATAATAAAGAACAGATTGCCAAACCCACCCTATGTAATAGATCTGCTTTAAGTAATAAGCAAAATAAAAATAAGAATGACTAATACTATCCTGGATTCACTGGTCTAATCCTCAAATAAAACAAGTTTAACCAAGCTGCAAAATAAAGAATTGATCAGAGAATATCCCTTCTTAGGCACATTTTTTCAGAATATGTGTGACCCTGTATATTTACAATAAAACAATACATTTCTTTAAAGTCTCAGCATTCCCAAATTACTGACTTCAAAGTTGGTTTATAAATTACAGAATTAAAAATATAACTTAAAAATGGATTTTGAATATACAATTTCAAGTCAGTTACTCTTCCCCTCTTCCTTCAGATTTTAATTCCCAAGAGCTTTGCGTTATCAGTAAAGTCAACTAAGGCAATGATTGATTTGAAAAGATGGGTCACAGATGTCTTGTGATTTCATATTTAACAAGGACTATGCATCAGGTATTTTGTGGAAAGAATACCTCAGAAAACATTTTAATTGTCTAAAATAGTTTAGTCAATTATTTACTTTGCCTAAGACAGAAAGTGATCTATTTTAAATGTGTGCCCAAATGTGAAAGGTAAAATACATATACTTTTGGGAGGATTCAGATAAGGAGAGGGAAGAAAAGGAGGAAAAAGATCCAGGAATGGCTCAATGTTCCACAGGAAGAGCTTTGATCAGTATACTTAAACAGTTTGACTGAATTTCTTTCTGTTTTTCAACTGAACTTCTTGTAACTGCTGATATTTAACCATTTTTTTTTACTATAAAACAGCAATTTCATATGTTAACCTAACCAGTTTTCCCTGCCATTTTCCTGTTCAAGAACAGTAGGTTCCAATTTTGAAATATATTAAGTTCAGTGAGCCTACCATCAACACCCTCTATGAATTAGCTACAACCTCTTCTGTCACTGCTTTCCAGCTCTCCCCACGTTACTTTCTACTTTACTCCAACCTCTGTATCTTTACTCTTTTTTTAAATATTTTTTATTGATTTTTTACAGAGAGGAAGGGAGAGGGATAGAGAGTTAGAAACATCAATGCGAGAGAAACATCGATCAGCTGCCTCCTGCACACCCCCCACTGGGGATGTGCCCACAACCAAGGTACATGCCCTTGACCAGAATCGAACCTGGGACCTTTCAGTCCGCAGGCGGACGCTCTATCCACTGAGCCAAACCAGTTAGGGCTGTATCTTCACTTTTTATTCCTGTCCTTTACATATGAAAAAATCTCCAGCCTTTGCACGATACTTCCAGCATCCCGGTCAGGATGCACATCCTTCAAAAAGAGTCTTTCCTGATAAACCCAATCTACCTTTAAACACTTAAAATATAGGTTGTCAGAAGTATGACAAATACTTAAGTATTCAATTTACATTAAACCACAGAAAATTATCTGGTCTTGCCTTCCAGGAGATGAATTTCTAAGGCAGCTAACAAGGATATATATAGATTTAACAGATGTTCAGAAAAAGATGTTCTTCACACCCTTAAGAACCCTATTTTATGTCTATATCTCGTGCTATAATTTAAACTAATTTCCTTCTGCTTTCAGTTCCTTGACCTTATATGCATGAAGAATTTGCTAAAATTCATTTGCTGGGGTTAGAGAATAAATGCTTTTCATCTTTCTTCTATTAAAACATTTAGAAACTTAAATATTTAAGCAAACTTTCTTTTTCCTTTAACCTTTTCTCATATTTTGCTGTGAATGATTTAAACATTCATTTACGAGAGTAACATTCATTCTAATATTTGACTATTGTTCTAAAGTATGGAAACTATCATAGGATGCAATATTCTACTAAATGTTGAATTAATATAAAGCATGGCAAAAAAGGAGTATTTCCAAATCCACTATGTAAATTCTATTAAGATATTCTCTCTCCTCTTTAGTTAGCAGAATAGACACTTTCCAGATTACAATCTGCCTGGGGGCAAGTGATGGTTCCCACATATTGCCCTGCTGAATTGATTCCTGGCAGGTATTCATATCTGCCTAGTGGCATTTATTTAACTCCTCCTGTGGTATCATAAAAAGATATTTGATCTCTGTCCTTCATTCCTGGCAGACAGCTCCTAAAACTCTTGGACTATCCAGAATGATAAAGGTTATAGGCACATCTTTTAATAAAGTGACTTTTAATCTGGCGACTCTTGGCAGGCCCCCAGATAATTTGGTCATCAGAAAGACCAAGCCTTGATTAGAAGTTGGAACTTTCAGCCTCACCCCTCAGAGAGAGAGGAGAGTGGGGCTGGAGATTATGGCCAATGGCCAAATGGTGTCATCAACCATTCCTACATAATGGAACATCCATAAAAACTTACAAAAGATGGTGTTCAGAGAGCTTCCTGGTTGATGAACAAATCCAGGTGCTGGGAGAGTGGTGTACACAGAGAGGACACGAAGTTCCTCATTCCTCATCCCATACCTGACCCATGCATCTCTTCCATTTGGCCGTTCCTGCATTGTATCCTTATAATAAACTGGTAGCAGTATGTAATAGGCTTTCCCAAGTTTTGTGAGTCATTCTAGCAAATTATCAAACCCTTGGAGGAGTGTTATGGGAGCCCCTGACTGCAACCAAGTCGAACAGAAGTATGGGTAACCTGGGAACCCGATACTTGGCACGGGAATCAGAAGCAAGGGCACTTTTGTGATTAAGTCTACGCCAGCAGTGGGCAAACTACGGCCCGCGGGCCGGATCTGGCCCGTTTGAAATGAATAAAACTAAAAAAAAAAGACCGTACCCTTTTATGTAATGATGTTTACTTTGAATTTATATTAGTTCACACAAACACTCCATCCATGCTTTTGTTCCAGCCCTCCGGTCCAGTTTAAGAACCCATTGTGGCCCTCGAGTCAAAAAGTTTGCCCACCCCTGGTCTACGCCCTGAAACCTGTGGAGTCTGAGCTAACTCTGGCAGGTAAGGTCCAAACTGAATTGAATAGTAGGACACCCACTAATGTCTGCCGAGAATTGGTTGGTGTCAGGAGAAAAAGTTACTTCCCACCTCCCATGTGCCAAGCACTGTGTTTCATATACAATATCTTTAATCTTCACACCAACCCTACAAAGTTGGTATTATCACCACCTCCACTCTGCACCTGATTAAAGGTTCTGAGAGGTCACTGGATTTACTCACGGAAGACCCTAACAGGTTAGACTCCGGAGGTTTGTTCTTCCCACCACATCACACTGTTTCTCCTTGTTTCTATAAATATTCTAATGTTGCTTGATATGTTTTATTTTGTACAATTCAATGCTAAGTTGTTCTTTAAAGCTTATCTCTTTATTACTTAAATCTAACAGAAGCTGGTTTTAAAATATTATAAATAGAAGCATTTTTTAAAATGAAAGAAAATACACATGAAGTAGGAGATGATTTTAACATAAGAAATGGAGTTGGCCAGTCTAGCTTTCATTATCACTGACATTTCTGTCAAAGAAATCCAATAGTAAGCTTTATGGTACCAAAGTCTTTAATGTGAACACTCAGAATAACATTTATAATTCTGTTACCTGCCGGAGTTGGAAGATTCCTCCTGTAGGCACGTCCTTTGCAGAAATTACTTCTACGGGGCAGTATTCACCATTCTCATTCTGTTCCAAGATTTGAACCCAGAATTCCATTTTCCTGGTGACTTCACTCCATCTAGGAAATAGTTGAAGTTCTTGGAAAATCATACATTTCTATTTCAATACAGGCAGCTTAGGCTCCTACATGAGAATTAACAATAACAATGACCTCCAAACAAAATAGTGAAATAGAATGATCTGTAGCTCAACGAGTAATATGCAAGTACATATTAGCAAATATAATTGAAGGCAAAGTTAAACAAATAGTATCAGAACTAAGACTATACTTGCAGGAGCCATTTCCATAGTTCATTACTAGAGGAGTTTATCTGAACATGTAGAGCACCAGAACTAGAAATGGCTCTTTTATTTTGTTCAAAAAGGTATGATGCCCAGCTGGTGTGGCTCCGTGGTTAAGCATCAACCTATCAACCAGGATGTCACAGTTCAATTCCCTGTCAGGGCACATGCCCAGTTTTTGACTTGATACCTAGTAGGGGGCGTTGCAGGAGGGAGCCAATCAATGATTCTCTCATCATTGATATTTCTATCTCTCTCCCTCTCCCTTCCTCTCTGAAATCAATAAAAAAAAATATTTTAAAAATAAAAAGGTATGAAAACTACAAATCTATTTCAGTGATTATTTAAAAATCTAAACATTGTAACCAGTGGTAGTTTTTGACTTGATACCTAGTAGGGGGCATTGCAGGAGGGAGCCAATCAATGATTCTCTCATCATTGATATTTCTATCTCTCTCCCTCTCCCTTCCTCTCTGAAATCAATAAAAAAAAATATTTTAAAAATAAAAAGGTATGAAAACTACAAATCTATTTCAGTGATTATTTAAAAATCTAAACATTGTAACCAGTGGGACAGGAGCAAGTACAGTGATTATCTTTTCATAAGTAGATAAATATATGCTTTAGGAATTTGACAAGTATCTTTGTTCACATAAGAAAAGAGAATCAAGAAAAATCTCTCAATGTCTAATTTAAAATTTGCTAAAACTTTCTAACTGCAAAAAAAGAAAATCTGGTTTTCATTTTAAAAATAGATGAAAAGTAGAAATATATGTGCTCTTTCCCTCATTTCCTTTTAACTTCTTTTTTTTTAAACTCTTCTTTTAAAATCCTGGTAAACAAATGTGCCTACCTCCTCCCATCACCGATGCCACCTGAAAAGAACTTTGAGCTAAAGAAAAACAAGCAAACTTGAATTCTAGAGCATATCTTGATCCCTTTTCTCTACAGTTGATTAATTAGAAGTAATTCTTAATAAGCTATCTATTCTCCAAAAATTTATTTCACTCTGTATTCTTAACTACCCATATATTTAGCTTTCTTCTATCACACTTCAAAGTTCATCCTCTAAAGAAGTTTAACTGTGCTATTAATGCCCTGGAAACACCACCATCTATTACTAGTGATGATGCCCAGGAAAGGACAACCTTTATAAACGGCAGTATTAATCTCTAGCAATTTGTAATCAGATGGATCTCCAAAATTCACCTGTCCCGAAGACTACGTGTTTTTGCTTGAATAATCCCCAAATCCCACAGGGCTGGGTTTTTCGGTGAATCGGTCATCTTATGGCCATATATTTCAATTGCCAGTGCCCCTTCTGAAAGGTGCTCAAGAAAGTCTTCAGTGATGTTAACAGAAAACTCCTAAAAAAAAATCACAGAAGAGGAAACACTTTCTGGTTACCTTATGATAACTTGTACCTAGCATCATATGCTTCATGAAGAAGAGAAATAGAAAAGACTGTTTTAGTTATAGAACAGAACTGCTGTTATATTACATCCAGAATGAATTCTCACATGGTCTAAGGTTCTTGACTTTAAAAATAATGCTACCTCTAATTTTTAAAAAATGTTTCACCTTGAAAATCTATTGTGAAAGACCAGCATTGTATTCTGTTTTGTTAGCAATACTTTGGGAGCCATTTTAAAAAGTATAAACAATTATATTAAGAATTATAATATAACAAGAAAAGAATTATAACAATGATCTATGATGTCTTGATATAAAAGAATATTTTTCCCAGTTTTTAGGAAGCTATCTCCAATAATAGGAGAGAAAGAAAAGAAAAAATGATCATCAGTACAAAAAAAAAATCACCTAAATTTTTAAAAATTCTCCCACCCTGTCCATCTTTGCAACATAGATTTAAGACAGCATTTTGCAATAGTTAGAATGAAGCTCTAAAACAGTTTATTTGTAAAAGTGATAGAATCTCCATCTCTTTCACTCTCTCTTGATCTTTAATACACTAAAGGTATTTCTGTATTTTAAAAAATTAGAGATTTCTCTCTTGAAAAAAATGAGATAGGTCAACTGTGCCACAATAGAAAAAAGGTATCTAAGATCTGACATTCCCAGCTCTGCTGGTTACCACCCATGGGCAAACTGGTCTCTCTGAACTGGTTTCTTCTACTGAAAAAAAGCACCCTCATCAAATACAACTGTGGTAAAGGTCAAATGAGAGAATAACATCAGTGCCTAGCAGAGCACTGGGTACTCAATAAAGTTAGTTCTTGTCTCTTTTCTGTCTTCACTGTCTCTAAAACACTGGTGTCTTAACTTTTTTAGATGACAATTTCTCCAATCTATAATAATAAAAGCATAATATGCAAATCGACCGAACAGCGAGTGACCATCCGGACGACCTTCCAGAATGATCAGTGGGCAGGGCTGCAGGGCTGCAGGGCTGCAAGGCAGCTGGAGCCACGAGGCAGCTGGGGCCGCAAGGGCCGAGAGGCAGCCGAGGCAGCGAGGGCTGCAAGGTAGCAGCCGAAGTGGCCGTGACTGCGAGGGCCTATCCTTGCACGAATTTCGTGCATCGGGCCCCTAGTAATCTAATATAAAACCTGGATTCCTTTTGGAGAAGAGCACACACGTACACACATATGTGAGAGTGTTAATGTGTGTATGTATTCACACAAAAGTTAACTTTTGATTATGGAGGAGTTAACTGCATTGACACTTTGGTTTAGTTTTGTTTTTTCTCCCAGCTTTACTGAGATATAAGTGACATATAACATTGTGTAAGTTTAAGGTGCGTAATGTACTGATAACACTTCCGATTTTTAATACAGCACAATCCTAAGAAACTCTGATCCAAGACACATATCAGTACCAAATTATTCAACTAAATAAGGTTCATTTTCTTGTTTTGTGTCTGCCTGAGTAATTAAATGCTGACCAAGTCTGGAAGACATACTTACTTTGCAATGATCAAAGACAACCATGCACTGAGGCTGCTTGCTGACAGAAGAGGATGAGGTGTCTACTTCCGGTGCGACCATTACTGGATCCTGTTGATCCCAGAAGTTGTATTTGCAGAATACAAAGTGGGACAGATGCTGTGGCAACCCAGTGGCTTGGAGTATTTTAACCTGAAGGAAAAGGAAGGTTCTGTTAGTTTTTATCTCAAAGAGTTCCAAGAAATACTTAGAGATATGGACTCCAGTCCTGACTGTCACTAACTGTTGGTTTATGTTGACCAAATCCCATTCACTCTGGACTGTACTTCTGCCCTAGTCATATTTAGCAAGAGGTTGACAAGGGTAACAAAGGCAATAACTTTGACTATAAAGGTGGATGTCTTAAAGCATTTATAGGCTAATGAAAAACATTTAAATTCTAATTTCTTATAACATCATCGTAATCATCCTATAATAACAATAATCAACTCAGAAGAAGAAAGCTTTCAAATATCAACACCATCCCATAATACAAATTTGGTTAGTGAATATTGTACATCATAAGAACACAGAATTAAGAATGATGAAGAACATGTACGTGCCAATAAGCAAAAAACCATTTACTTGATACTTTAAAGTTTGTTTCTTTTTAATAAGGTTCTCAAGTAGACTACAACATGTGACTAGAGCATTTTGGAAGAAACTTTAAAAGCCTCAGGAATGTATACTTTAGAGATCTGGAGGGGTGAACGGTGGAGATTAAAGAAATGTCCATAACAGATTTTAAAGCAGCCAAGTTTCTAAATATTTCTTTTGACAGGTAGCATCAAATTGATTTTTTAAGCTGAAGTTTTTGTATAAGTTGTAATATTCTAAAACTCCTCCAACTATGAAGGAAACTAAACCCTAAAATTAATTAAGTGAAACTAAATTCTGATTTTATAACCCATTAGGCCAACTTTCATATGATTGAGCATTTATTTACTCTTCAACTGGTCTCTTCCTTGCATGTTGTAGGTTGTACTCTATCCCCAGCAAATAAATTTAACAAAAGTAGATTTGAATATGTGATGTAGTTCATCAAACACAAATATAATAGTCTTAGCACTTGAGGAAGTCTTAATAATGCCACAGAAAATCTCACAAAGCAGATGATTTTATTTTCTTCTATACCAGGTCCATAATGGCTAAGTAATGAATGGAAACTCCTGTTTCCTGTGACAGCAACAAGAGTTTGCAAATCTAGATGGTAACTCCCTGACAGGCTATGAAAGATGAATTGACTAACACATTTTATTCCTCCGAACCAAATACGGCGAGCTGTATTCAGCAATTACTTTTTTCTTAAATTTAAAAAACTATCACTTTTTTATTAAGTGTTAAAAGTGATTATTATATTCTTTAAGATGAGGCAATGTGGTATTTGAGAAGATTATAAGATTCTGGAGTATATAGATCCAAATAAAAATCTCTGCCACTTATTAGCTTCTGTTTTTGAAAAAATTACTTTTAAAATTACATTTTAGTTTCCTTAGGCTTAGTTTTTCTCCTAGGTGTAACAGGATAGCTAGCTAATGATACCAGTGTGAGGAATGACCATTACCAAGTAAGTGAAATGAATGAAAAGGCTTTGAGTGGATAGATGTTCAATAGGTACCTCCTTGTGATGGAATTCCACCTGAAAGCCTTTTTTTTTAGACATCGATCTCAGTTTTGGGGTTGAAATAAATAAGCAAACACAAGGCTTTATATACTGAACTGTTCCCTATAGGCAACTTCTCGGGAATGAGACTGCCAGGAATGAAGAATAACAGGATGGATATAACAGAATGAGGAATATTTAGAACATAGGTTTGGGTTTCTTTTTCGGTTTTAGTTTTTGCCTACAGAAACCAAAAATCACCACAAGGTGTCAGGATAACACAGACTTCAATCCGCTCACCATTGCTCAAGATACTAGAGCCCAGGAATGTCAGAAGACATTAATGTGGTTTGGAATTTTAAAATACACTAATTGTATCTAATGTAATTGAAAATATCAATATGTTAATATGTACAAACTTTATTTCACCCCAGAAAAATAAACCCAGACTTCTTTTATGGCTGGCGAAACTCTTCACTCATGCAATTCAAGTGTCCCCAGACTGGTTTGGTTTGTTTTTTCTAATAATATTTTGTTTGCTATCACACAGTTTATTTGTCTTCCTCCTTTTATACAAAAGGCTATTATATGCTCAGAATATGGTCTCTAAAAACCACTTTCCATTAAAAGGAATCAGGTTCCCTGGAGAAATGACTGATTCCAGATCTAGGACAGGGAATGTACAGAATGAGACCAGAATATTCGTCGTATCTGAATGCAAGAAAGCTAGTAGAGTTTATGAGGGTTAAGGTTGTGTCAAAGGACTCACGAACTAACTGAAGAGCCCCCACAGGCCAAAGATGGGATAATCTGAACTTTAATATAGGCAATAAATACAATGGATTGAAACACATCAAATATATTTAAATCTAAGAGTTCATAATGATATTAAAACTAAAACCAAAAAGAAATCTCCTTGGCTGCTTTTGGATATTGGTAGGAAAACCAATTCATTATTTTGAAAATCAGTAAATAATGGGAGAGACTGGAACATTTACCATGCCTCTCCTATACAAACTGTATCTCTGAAGAGAAAATAGTTGATAATAGAAAGATTCTCTCTATAGAAGTATTCAGCTAATAACTGAAGGAAAAATAGAATTATAGCATCATTCTTTTCTAATGCCTAATGAAATGTCTAGGTAATGAACACCGATGATTGCTAACCATGCTGGAAGAGAAGCAGACATAATGTGCCTTCTGAAGGAAAAATAATGAAGTATCCTCTCTACTCCTCTTCCCCCATACATTGCTTGTATTTCTACCTAGCAATTAATGAAAAATGCAGCATAACATGTTAAATAATACCAATCAGTAAGATGCAGACTATGAGAAAATATAATAGCCCATTTCCTAAAATAAATTGTAGGATAAGAGAGAATGAGAGACAAAGAGAAACAGAGAAGAACAACACCCACAAGTGATTGAGCCTAAAGATTAAGACAGCCTTCAGAGACATGTCAACTAAGACAATCAAAAAAACTGACTGGACAGTTCATGATATTTAAGAAAGCATTCATTTTTTATTATGATATTTTAGTTTTATTTGATCTTTTTAAGTACTCTTTTTTGTTGTTGTTAATCCTCCCTTGAGGATATTTTTCCATTGATTTTTAGAGAGAGTGGAAACTAGAGGGAGAGACACAGAGAGAGAAACATCAATGTGAGACAGACACATCGATTGGTTGCTCCCACATGTCCCCAACCAGGGCCAGGGATCGAGCCTTCGACCGAGGTACGTGCCCTTGACTGGAATGGAACCTGGGACCTTTTAGTCCATGGGCCGATGCTCTATCTACTGAGCCAAACTGACTAGGGCAAGTACTCTTCTTTTGGAGATACTAAACTATTTATAGACTTGAGGCCCGTTGCATAAAATTTGTGCATGGGTAGGGTCCCTAGGCCTGGCTGCCGATCAGGGCCGATCTGTTGGGCAACCGGTTGGGGCCTGCAGGCTGGGGGCAGCCCCTGCGTTGAGTGTCTGCCCCCTGGGGGGCATTACGCGTCATAGTGACTGGTCATTCTGCCGTTTGATAAATTTGCATATTAGGCTTTTATTATAAGGATGTAATATGATGTCTGGAATTGCTTCAAAATAATCCAAGGGAAGGAGTCAGTGCAGAAGTGGCTTAGGTGTATGAATGGAAGAAGACTGACCACGAGTTGATAATTGTCCAAGGAGGATGAAAGGGGATCAATAACACCTTTCTCACTACTTTCATGTTTGATATCTTCCAATAAAAAAAAAATCTTCAGATTTTTAAACTTTATTTTCTTAAAAAGCTTGTTACCCAGGACATACTACTTCTTAACAGTGATAAAGATAAATTTTCCAAATGAGATAGTATCTTTTGTGTTACTTTACTAATAGTAAACTCACACAGTTGATCTTTCACACAGCTGCATTTACTGGTCCATCACCTTTAAAATGGGCCATATGGAGTCATCAAGCCTATGTCTCCATCTTTGATAATCCTATAACCTTAAAGGACATGCTAGCAAAACAAGTACAATACAATAAAGAGTAACCTTTTAGGGAATTAAGAATCCCCTGCTAATCCTGAAGCAATAGACTTAAAACATATGAGGCCTTCTTAATATATGCAAAGACATACAGAAAGTAGCCCAACTTTAACAGCCTTAGCTTTCCCATGCCTTGCAGCTAATGCCTACTTTCAATGTCAACTTCCATCCTAGAAACATGCGCTGAGAACCAGGACTGGACATAGGATGAATTATGAAGTAAGAGTTCAGGTCAGGCTTCTTCTACTTCACATCTGAATGGTCTTGTACACTGTTTCAATTCCCCTTGCTAATTTCTCTTCCTCAAAAACCTTTTTAACTGGTTTCTCTGTGATTCTTAAGCAATGGCAGGATGGCCCACTGGAGTGGATTTGGAAATGTATGAGGGGATTTTTTTTCCACTGTCATGAGTGACAGAGGTGGCACTACCTCTGCTGACTGTGATGACAGGAATGTGATAACCTACCTAAAATCTACCGAGCAATTCCCCATGAAAATGCCATAGCTCCCTCTGGAGCAAGAGTTGTACATAACACACTCTCCTTCAAGTTCACTTGGAATCTCATTTTTCCAGAAATTTTCCTCAGACCTTAATATCAGAATCAATTACCTTTCCTCTGTGTCCCAGAATGTCTGGCCTACCTCTCTCAGAGCACCAGGGTTACACAACATTGGAGTCTTCTGTTCACTGTGTGCCCCCCTTACACATATGCACGAACCACACAGAGTGCTCCTTGAGAGTTGGAATCCTGTCTTGTTCATCTTTATATTTGCAGTGCCTGGCACAATGTCTGACAGATAACACTCAACACATAGCCCATGAATGGCATGCATGGGAAGAGCAGGAAGAAAAGGGCTTGCAATTAGGGCATAACAATAGCATAGGCAAAGGCACGTGGGGGAAGAGGAAGAAAAAAATCATAGAAAAACAGAGAGAAGAGTGACTTATGGCAGGAGCATAGGAACAGGACTGTGGCTGGAATATAGTTCTATCATCAGCAGGAATCAAGAGACCTGAGTTGGGTGAAAAAACTGAGCTTCTCTATAAAAAAGTTCCAATAAACACAAATCCATATCAATTTGGAGTGAAATAGCCCAGAGGAAAGAGGTAACCTCTCCAAAGCTTCACAGCAGAAGGTAGTGTAAGTACCTGGCTAACAAGGACATCAAAATCTATCCTATATAATAAAAGGCTAATATGCAAATAGACCAAATGGTGGAACAACCAGAACAACTGAATAACCAAACAACCGGTCGCTATGACATGTGCTGACCACCAGCGGGTGTGTGCGGAACATGGCGGGTGTTGGCCGCGGCAGGATGGTGGAGCAGGTAAGCAGGGGCACCAGACCAAGGCAGGGCACCAGACCAAGGTGGGGCGCCGGTCGCTGTTATCTGGGCGAGCCTCTGGTGGTTACTGAACATTCTTTGTTCCCACACACTGTGGTCCCACCTAGTGCTCGCACCTGCTGCTGGTGCCAGCCCCGCTCGCACCCGCAGCTAGCGCTGAAGCCGCCGCTTGCACCTGCTGCCAGTGCCCAGTGCTGGTCCCGATCACTCGGCACCAGCAGCAGGTGCAAGTGGCAGCTGCCGGCCGTGATAGCCCCTGAGGGCTTCTCTACCTACCCCTGCTCCCGAGGGGCAATGGGGGCAGCAACCGCCACTCCCACCCACTGACAGCACCGGCCCCGCTCATATCTACTGCTGGCATCAGCCCCAATCACTCTGCACCATCAGTGGGTGCTAGGGGAATGGCGCAGTCAGTGTGTGGGAACGGCGGCTGCGGGAGCGGGGCTGCCGGCAGACAGGGGACTGGGGGCCACGCAGAGGCATGGAGGATGGGCCAAGATCCACTCCTGTGCCTACTGCAGCCTCGTGGCCCACAGTTCCTTTCAAGGTGCACGAATTCGTGCACTGGGCCCCTAGTATGTATGTATGTGTGTGTGTGTGTGTGTGTGTGTGTATGTATATATATGACTAATATGCAAATTGTTCCCTCAGGAGTTCAACTGGGAGACCGGGAGTCCGATTGCTCTCTATGACATGCACTGACCACCAGGGGGCAGCACAGAATGAAGGAAGGCCCTGGTCGGCAGCTGGCAGCCAGGGAAGGAAGGCCTCAGCCAGCATCCAGAAGGCCCCAATCAGCCTGATTGCTTGCCAGGCTTAGGGACCCTACTTGTGCATGAATTTCATACACCAGGCCTCTAGTATATGATAAAATACTAAATACTAAAGATTTATTTAGAGATAGCTATTTTCAAAATTTGAAAAAGAACGTAATATTTATCATCTACCTAAAATCCTCAAAATCCATCACAGTTCTCCTACTTGTAAATGAAACTGGGACTTACCATGCATGTGAGTTTGTTCTCATGGGTCTCCTTATCAAAGGAGGTATCTGCAGCATCATCTCCTCCGGCAATCCTTTCCGCAATGTCGCCACTGATCCGCATCACCTCGACATGCAGCCGACCTGCCACCTGCAACAATGGGGGAAAAGCAGGTCCTTTTTCCAGAGTTTGTTCTTTCTTCTGCTTTAGAGTCAAGTGGTTAGGTTACTGGTATATGAGAATTTAGAAGCCTAGGTTCTAACAGTTCCTTTCCCCCAAAGCACTTGGAATAAACACCATAAGGCAGTATAAAACACAGGTGTTAATAACACATATAACTATTGCTTGTTATTATTGATGAAAAATGGTAACTATATATTATCAATACTCTACTGTTAAATGAACCATTCTCTGAAGGATAAAGGCATTCATAGGACACTAACCTCTCCTTTCTGGTTGACAATTGGAACAGCATATTGTAACTTCACATCATAGAAGAGGGACTCGAGGAAGACATTTGCCACCCCAATGAGACTGTGATTTTCCTGCTCATCATAGAATGGATCGGCACGCTTGAAGTAAGACCGTATTACCTTCAAAATGAAGGAAGATTCAGAACATACAACTTAAGAAAATGGACTAAAATAAAATGAATTCAACCCATCACTTTTGATGCACTCTAATAAAGTCATTAAACTCAGCTGAAGTATAGCACTGTATTGTGCTCACTCTCTCTCTCTCCCCACCCCATTCCTATTTTAGAATAAATGGTCAGCATTCTTCACCCATGAGAGAGCAATCCCCATAATGCCATTACTTTTCTTTCTTTTTTTAAATTTTAAAAATTTATTTTTTAATTACAGTTGACATACTATATTAGTTTGGGGTATATAGCACAGCGATTATGTACCTTATGAAGTGATCACTCCATTTAGTCTAGTACCCATCTGACACCATACATGGTTATTTCAGTATTATTAACTATATTCCCTGTGCTGTACTTAACATCCCCATGACTATGTCATTACTTTTATCATTCCTTCTCCTTTACCTGGAAATCTTGCCATGAAAACATAGAAGACATACACTGACTAGAAAAAGAAGTAAAATGTATAAGAGAACTCTTCATTTTTCATTCATATCTATTCCACTTGTTCCTACAAAAATGTGAGATATGTAGCTACTAATGAGAGGTGACCCCTTATAGGAGAGTGGTGTGATGGGCCCTTTTGTATTTACTATTAATGTTGTTTTATTTCTATGGTGAAATAGGAAAGGAATACACAAGAAAATAAAAATATATTTTAAGAAAAACATTTATAATAATAAAAGCATAATATGCTAATTAGACAGGACGACCTTCCAGACAAAGCCAGAGCTAGGAGGGAAGCCTGGTCCTGGGGGCCTGCCAGTGGCTGCAGGGAAACCCGGGTCCCAGGTGCCTGCCGGCGGCTGGAGAGAGGGAAGCCCAGGTCTCAGGTGTCGGAGGGAAGCCTGGGTCCCGGGTGCCAGAGGAAAGCCGGTGCTGGAAGCCAGGGGAAGGAAGGCCTACTCTTGCATGAATTTCGTGCATTGAGCCTCTAGTGTCATATAAAGTAAAAATTCATTTTTATTGATGACAATTTGGAAAACTGAAAACTTTTGAAAAACAAGAAGCTAAGGAATTAAAACAACTCTATGCGAACACAGGAGTGTTGAAAATATGTAAAAATATGCACAACACATCTTTCTATTTTAAATATGTACAGTATAGAGCTGGCCTAAATGAGAAAACGGGCAACTTGAGGGGAGGGTACCAGAGTCCATATCTATGGCACCTACTTAAGGTCAAGACACCTTCAAAATATGTTCCTAATAGTATAAATGTTAAGATATCACTGATGTTCAATTAACAAAACAAATATTGTAGGTATATTACCTACAGGGTTAAAGTGTTGAGAAATGAGAAGAGCATGGTCTCTGTCCTAAATAAATTCACAGTGCAGTCTGGGAGACAGAAACATGTTAACACCTGCAGAAATGAGTTTGGACTATAGAAAATTCTATCAGAAATCCAGAGGATACAAAATGAGGAAGAGAACAAAAGAAGATGCCGGAACAATGGGTTATTAACATTTTCAGTTAGCTAAACAAGTTAGAGGATTAAAATAAATATCCTAGAAATAGGCTTACTATTTTGGAAAAATGAACAATTTTCCCCGAAAATGGGTAGGCTCATTCCGAAATGCTTGGTTCCTTCTATGAGTACGAGCTAAGTAAGTTTTCTCAAATAACTTACTGGGGTATCTTCTTCACACTCCTTCCACTCCTGGTAAAGGTCTCTCATATCCAACAACCTGTTGTCCAATTTTTCCAAGGACCAAGTCTGCTTTCCTTTTCCTTTTCTTCTTACCTGGATTGCAGGTTCACTAAGAAGAGAGCCTCGCTGCAAAGACAGGGAGAGTGACTAAGTGAAACACAAAGATATCTACCATGGAAGTCCACCCTAAATATTCTATACCTATCAGTCAAGTGTCATCAACCAAAACTGAAACAACTCTCATTCGTTATTCTATTCATTGCAAAGCTTCCCAGAAATCTCAACGCTTAATATAGTGCCTTTATATCCAAGTGCAAGCAAAATTAAAATATTGCAGTCAGATATAAATGTAAATTTAAAACACAAAAGACAAGACCATGTGTAATGGGAAGTAAAAAATGTTTTATTTGGGCCATCATATGACCACAGAATATCAGTGGGTAGAAAGAGAGTCATAAATATTGAATGGCAGGGGAAGGTTTTCTGGGACGGGTGGTTAAGAAAGTATCTTTCACTTTCCAAAAGTTTAAATTTTTCTGAATGGGTAGCATCTTAATGTCATACAACATACAAAATGTTTACAAGAGTACCTATTTACCCATTTGAAGGCAATAAATTATACCAATTTCTAAATATACATAGTTTAAATTTAAAATTAAAACAGTATAGAACAAGACAGAGATGCTAGTTGCACAGCATTATGAATGTACTAAATGCCACAGAATCGTTCACTTTAAAGTGGTTAATTTTGTAATGTGAATTTCACCTCAAAAAAAGAAAGCATTTCATTAAAATTTTTTCCAGCTTATAAAAACAATGTTTTTAATGTAGAAAAATATTTAAACTTTTTAAAACAACAAAGTAGAAACAAAATGCCCCTGTTCATCTCTCCCAGAGATAACAATTTATCTAATATCAATTATCTAATCAAATTTAGATTTATTGGATAAATTTATCAACTGCCTGCTATGTCTACTTAGAACTTTGGAAAATTATGAAATACACCAATGGTGCATAACATCTTGCCTATAATCATTTCAAAAATAAAAATAATAAAAACAAGAGAAGTTACATAATGAAACAAAGATTTTAGAATTCTGAAGGTCAAAAATCACCATTCTCTCACCTACAGTAAAGGCCCTTTCACCTTATATTCAGCTGGGTAGGGAATAAATACAAAAGTCTCACTGGTGATTTGTGGGGAGTAGCTTTTCAGGGGGACAATACCAGAACTGGGACTAAATGGCAATGAGCAATATGCATCATGACATGGTCCTGCTGCAAATAACTACAACAGGGACTGGAAAAAGAAAAAGAAGAAATCTCTGTCCCTTACCAAAAATTGCCAGACATAGGTGGGTACAAAGCCAGGAGTAAGGACCAGAAAAAACAGCATCACAGCATGGACAGGACATTAAGTGAAATAAGAATTTTCAAGTACAAAAAAAAAAAGGTTTGTTGGATAAAAACATGCAAGACCCAGCCTGAGTTAAGGAGACTATCTCCTTAAGAAATACTTCCTTGTTCAACTCCTCTTTCTAGCTGAAATCTGAAAATGCTAATCAATTAAATCAATAATAGAGGGGATTAGTAGCCGTTTATTAATAACTAGAGGCCTAGTGCACAGATTTGTGCACTGATGGGGTCCCTCAGCCTGGCCTGCGCCCTCTTGCAATCTGGGACCCCTCAGGGGATGTCAGATAGCTGGTTTGGGCCTGATCCCTGCAGGCCCAATCCAGAGAGGAGGGAGCCCGATCCCTGCAGGGCCGATGCCCGCAGGCCCAATCCCCAGAGGCCTGATCCACACAGGAGGGAGCCTAATCCTGTGCGTTGAGCATCTGCCCCTCTTGGTCAGTGCACGTCATAGCAACCAGTCAACCAGTCAGTCATTTGGTCACTTAGGCTTTGATATATATATGTCATAGCAACCAGTCAACCAGTCAGTCAGTCATTTGGTCACTTAGGCTTTGATATATATAGATGGCTGTTCACCCCCAGCAATGTGCATCATCTCTACCAGTAAAAAAAATAAAAAGGCATAAACACACTATATCAGGTGTCCAGGAGAGAGTCACTTCTAGGTGTTGACCTGTGCCCTAGGCGGGTTGCTCCTTTCAACAGAGCCCAGGCCAGGATACACAGAAAAGGGCTGCAGTCATGCTTAATGGGGAAAAAAATAGCCCCAGTTCAGTTTCTTTCGACACAAACAGCCTTGCTCTTCTTAGTCTTCTAGAAGAAACTGAGCCCTGTACCTTTCACCATGATTGCCTTTCCTCTAGTATTTTTCATCTGTGAATTCCAACTGCACCCATGGTTTGTCCTACAAATACCAACAAGCAAAATAAAGTTCTAAGTGAGTAAAATCTTTCAAATTACACATAGAATATTAAAAGATAATTCTCGCCCTGCCAGTGTGGCTCAGTGGTTGAGTGCTGACCCATGAACCAGGAGGACACCAGTTTGACGCATGCAGGAGGCAGCAATCAATGATTCTCTCCCACTCCCTTCATCTCTCTGAAATCAATAAAAACTAAAACAAAAAACAGAGGAGGACAAGTGTAAAAAGATCTGGATGTGGGGGTATAGATAGGGATGAGGCCAAACCCACTGGTGTTTAAATAAACACTAGTGAAATATAAAGCAGCTTTATTCAACAATATCTATTTTTCCATTAATGGCCACCTCACCTTCCTGTTGGCATCGAGGCTGGAGGCTAGAATCTGTAGGGTTACTTTATACTCCGTTCTTTTATCCAGTTCTTCTGCAATGTAATTAGCTTCTCTCACCAACAGATTGGCTTTAACAATTTGTTCCCTTAGCCTCATCAGGCTGTTATTCAGTGTTGCTTCTCTTTAAAAAAAAATAGGGGGAGGGAGAGATAACCATCAAGCAGCACATGAGAATATTATACAGTACATGACATGTTAATGCCAAACTGCCAACCAAGCTTTACAACGGTCTTTCGCACACAGGGAATACATCACTGACACCGACCCATGCATGCGCTTGTATCTGGGCTATGTTATAAGCATTGGCTCTCGCTGGTGTAACACACAGGCCCTAGAATACTTCCAAAACTTGACTGTATGCAAATCAACTGAGGGTCTTGATAAACTGAAGATGTTGACTCAGTAGGTCTGGGGAGGGGCCTAAAATGTCCTATTTCTATCAATCTCTAGGTGACAGAGATGCTGCATGTCTGCAGACCAAACTCTGAATAGCAAGAGGTTAGTTAAGTACTGTCTGTAACCACGAATAAGACATTTTAGTGCAATGCTAATTAGCCAGCATAGAGATCAAACTTGCAATCTGAGTCTCATTAGCACCATGCTTTACCTACCTGAGCTAATCAGTCCAGATAACCACCTTTCTTTTTTTTTCCTTTTTTTAAAAAGCATCTACCCAAGCTCCAGAACCTAAAGTATAATACAATAATAGAGTGTAACTGCTAAACACAAATACTTGTTTATCCACATCCAAAAGCCATACAAACTAAAAACAGGGCAGCACCAAACATGGGCAGCTTTAAATAAGTCAATATAAATGGACAATTTCCTTTTTAAAAAAAAAATGAAAAAAAAAATAATGCCAAGTGGTACTTAGCTGTGCCACTCTCTTTTAATATGATTCTTTCTAAAGTATTTTCTATATGTTTCCACTTTGTATCTTAACCTAGGTGGGTTAAAGGTGATAAGCATATGTTATGCATATAATAAAGGCCCAAGGCACCACCTACCTCTCTTCGGCCCACTGTCTCAATCGCTGCTGAGCGCTGGGGGACTGGAAAGAAAACCTGTCCGAGCTGCGACAGTTTTGTTTCTCCGGAGACAGCCTTCTTCGTAGCTGCTCCAATTCATGCTCATACATAAGTCTCTGGCGCTCTAATGCGGATCGTTTTTCTTCTTCGTGCTGTTGTTCTACGCTGTTCAATATTGACTGCATTGGATCTAGACATGATTTTTAAAAAGGTAAATAATGAATAAAAGGTAAACTATACAACACAATCTATTTCAAGTATTATTCTATACTAAAGGACCAGTACACGAAATTCGTGCACGGGTGCGGTCCCTAGGCCTTGCAATCGAAGCATGAGCATCTGTCATGGAAGGGCAGGTCCCAGCTGACCTCTGGGCCCTGGGCAGCAAGCACCTGAGCCCCCAGGCTCCTGCATGCCCCCTTCCACCTGAGTCACGGCGCCCAAGTTGCCATGCAAAAATGTGGTGAGCGCAGCCGGACGCCACAACCCGGGGTGCAGCGTGGGCCTCTGGGCCACCCAATGGTGCTGCACGGAAGCTGGGCGGGCAGCGTGCGCTCTCCCGGCCGGCCTAGCAGACCAGCTCCTGCACGAACCCACAGAGAGCCTGACTGGCCCCTGCAGTCCGGCCAGCTGTGGCCCAGCTCACCAGGAAGAGGCCGCACGGGGGCAGGGCAGGCTCCTCGCGGGCACCCAGCTCCTGAGCATGGGGGCTTCCCCCGTGCGTGAGCCCTGGCATCCCAGGGGAAGGGTAGCAGGGGGAGTGAGAGTGAGCTTGGTGGACACCCCACATTCTCACCGCACCTCCGTCCCTATCACCCCTGCCCCCAGGTAGCTGGCAAGAGATCGCAGCACATTGCCAACGCCCAGCATGTTCCGTGCCGCCCCCTGGTGGTCAGCGCACATCGAACTCCTGGTCTCCCAGTCGAACTCCCAGTCGAACGACCGCCCAAGGGGACAATTTCCATATTAGGCTTTTATTATATAGGATTGTTGTTTGTCATCCTAATAAAAATAAGATTTTTAAAGAGAGTTTGGAATAAACTTAGCTTTCCTTGCTCTCAATTACTTATCTTCTGCTCTGTCAGATCTATGCCAAACTACCTTCCATACAGAAGAAGCAGGTCTACTAGTTCTACACGTAACCTAAGAGACTGTTTAATGCTCCAGAAATCCACTACAATAATGAGCCAGTGATAATCAAGCTTCAAACCTGAAAAATTCTATCAATGAGGACATAGTTTGCAGTGCTTTCTAGATCAAGGCAGAAAGAATCAAGTTTTTATAAATGTAATAAATTAAAACCAAAGACATGAAAAGGATAGCATAAGGAGAACAACTAAAGAATTCCTTTTTGTTGTTAACATTTAAAGCATCTAAGTTATAAACATTTTTAACTCTCCACCAACTTTAAAAGAAACTGAGACCAAAGAGATAGTTATCAGAAAAGGGGGAGGGGGGTGGTGAAAAGAGGAAGGGGAATATAGTCAATAATATTGTGATAAGTTTACGTGGTGACTAGAATTAGGGGATGTTCACACTGTAAAGTGTAAAAATGTTGAATCACCATATTGTACACCTGAAACTAATATAACCAATATAAGATCATATACCAACTCTACTTAAATAAAAAAATTAATTCAATCTAAAAACAGATTCTAAAATGCACAACAGATCTGCTCACCATTATTAGCCAGAGCCTTCATGGTAACCTCCATCTGTGCATATTCATAGTTGAAGTTGATTTCACTGGATACCTCGCTGGAGGAGTCTCCGTCTATATCCAGCTGCTCAGAACTGGTATCATTCTTCATGGAGGTATCTTGTTCCTCGTCCTCTCGATCTACTTTCTTTTTCTTTTTAGGCAAATTCAATCTAGGGGAAAAAAGATCACTTTTAAAATAAAGATATACACATTCATTTCATTCATTCAATACTGGCATTTGTTAGAGGCCAAGGGGATACCATGTAAATATAAGGTGATTACTATACTCAGTTTATATTCGAGTAGTAGAAAGAAAACACACATGTACATGCAAATAATTACAACAGAGAGTATGATACAATGCCACATAACTATTACAAGCTAGGAGAAGTTATGAATGAAACAACATAGGGATACACAAAATTTGTATAGTATTAGTTGTGAGGAATAACTCTGAAAAGATCAACTTAACCAAAGTATGAAGGCTTTGAATACTAAGCCAAGAAATTTATACTTGATTTAGTTTGATAAGAAAAAAATAATATTTCCACACATTTTGTACCCCTCTACCCTTTCTTCAATAATCAAAATATCATCTGGCCTACAAGCAAAGGATCTTCACGAATTCTAAGAAAAGTCAGTTTGATATCTGAAGCACAGTGACCAATTACAGGAAGAGAAACAGACTGGGTTTTAATTTTATACAATATCCAGCTGCTTTTCCTTGCCAACACAACACCAATTTTGTATGAGAAACAATGTGTGCACAGCCAGCCTCCCTCTCAGCCAAGAAGCAAATTCCAGCAAATGAGACCTAAGTGGAAGGTTGCTGGGCACTTGGAGAAGACTTCTGGAATGGTGTGGCCATCTTTAGACCATGAGAAATGTCAGGACAATGACAAGACTTCTGCCATGACATTTTTGAGGGGCTTAGCCAATGCCAACAGCCATTTTCCTTTGGACTTCTTGTTTTGTCAAAGAAATAAACTATTTAAGTCACTACAGTCAAGTTTGCTGCTAATTGCAGCTAAAAGTAATACAATCCCTATTTATAAAATTTTAAGAAAACAACAAAGATAAGCATGTCAGAAAAAAATTAATTTTTATAGCAGATGGCAAAATCATCATCTTCTACTGAGAAATAAAAAGGAAAAAATGTGTAAGTAAACCATTTTTCCTGAGTGTATGGTTCATATGTTTCTTGGGCTACAAGCAAACATATATACAGGTGGGGCAAAAGTAGGTTTACAGTTGTGAGTACGCGAAAGTTTATTCTTTTATTATTATTTATTAATTATTATATTATTTTCCATAAGAACAGTAAACCTACTTTTGCCCTACCATGAATATAGTATATAAATACACATATAGAAAATAAGTAAATATTATACACTAAAATATATAAAGTTTATGGAGTTATGTCCACTTTTCAATATATATTCTTTTATTTCAGAGTATAGTCTTCAATAATCCTCTTTAAGACCCATGAATAATGTCATACCTGAAGAAGTGGTTGTTTCCCCATAATATCCTGTCCCCATGGTGTAGCTGTATAGCACTGGACACAGAAGAGCCATTTACAAATGTTCTGTGGAAAGAAGAGGTCAAACATGTAAACAACAATTATCACCTTTTCTCCTTTAATTTTCTAGGACCACAGAGATTATGGTTACTAGAAAAAATGAATTAATCAGTTCCCCAAAATAAAACCTGCCCTTGGTGAATTTTATTATTTATATCTACTTTTTTGCTAACTTACCTAATATGCTTATGGTACTAAGTACAATAATTATCCTCTGTTTTCCAAAGTTCTAAACTTGTTATATAACACTAGAGGCCTGGTGCATGGATTTGTGCACCAGTGGGGTCCTTTAGCCTGGCCTGCACCCTCTCGCAATCCAGGACCCCTCAGGGGATGTAGTAGTGTGTGAAGTGGCAGGTGGCCGGGGAGGAGTCCGAGCCCAGGGCTGGGCACCAAGCTGCTCCCGCTCATCCAGGCCCTGCTGTGCCTGCCACCACTGCTGCTGACGCCGTGGCTCAGTAGCACTACTGCGGAGACGGGAGAGGCTCCCGTCACGGCAGCTGTGCTCTCCAGCCATGAGCCCAGCTCATGCCCATCTGGTGCCCATCGGTCAGCTGAGCAGCGCTCCCACTGTGGGAGCGAACTAATCATGGGGGGGGTGGGGGGGCAGCTCCTGCATTGAGCATTTGCCCCCTGGTGGTCAGTGCGCATCATAGCTACCAGTTGTCCAGTTGACTGGTCATTTAGGCTTTTATATATACAGATTACAGTCAAAAATAGGAAGATGGTAGCAGTATACATTACAATTAAAACAAGCATGTCCAATCTCGTGGATAAAAAAAAGCCAGTCAACCAAGGGGATGCTAGAAGTAACTATAGACATCAGTAATAAGAAATAAGAGCAATGTTAAATTCTTCTGTAACTGGCCATAGCATAGAAAAATGCTCATATCCTGTCAATACATAGAAGATTTGTCAATTCCACCTGACTGTTTACCTTGACAATGGAGTTAAACAGAAGAAATGGTGGGTAGAAGGATGTAAAATGAAGAATTTGGAGAGGGCAGGAAATAAATAGAAACTCATACATACTGCTATAAAAATGGTATTCCTGGAATTAGTGTCATCATGCCTTTCTCCTGCTGAATAACTCATTTGCTTAGATATAGGATAAAGGTCAAGTTGTTTATTTTTCTTTTTTTAAATATATTTTTATTGATTTCAGAGGAAGGGAGAGGGAGAGAGAGATAGAAACATCAATGATGAGAGAGAATCATTGATTGGCTGCCTCCTGCAAGCCCCCTACTAGGCATGAGCCCTTGACCTGAATTGAATCTGGGACCTTTCAGTCTGCAGGTCGACACTCTATCCACTGAGCCAAGCCAGCTCGGGCTAAAGGTCAAGGTCTTTAACTTAACATTAAAGGTCTAATAAAAGGAAGCCCTCTTTATCTCCTCCTTTCTCTCTTCTAGTGAACTCTCACCTCCAGAAAAACAAACAAACTAACAAAAACCTTTAGGTTTGGTCCACTAAACATGGCTGACTCTTCCTCCAAAGCCAGGTTTATACCCATCCTACAAACTGGAATAGGGTTCCCATTCTTCTCCATCCCCCCAAATCTTACTCAGCTCTCAAAAGCCCAGTTTGGTTTATACTTCCCATGAAAGTATAAACCAGCCTACAGTACCTTGCTTTCTTTAAGTTCCCAAAGTACTTCGCTGGCATTATACTGTTGTTGTTTCTCTATTTTGAAAAAAAAAATTTTTTATTGATTTCAGAGAGGATGAGAAACGGAGAGAAAGAAACATCAATAATGAGAGAGAATCATTGATCAGCTGTCTCCTGCATGTCCCCTACTGAGGATCTAGCCAGAAACCCAGGCATGTGCCATGACCAGGAATTGAACCAGCAACCCTTCAGTGAACGGGACTACACCCAACCAACTGAGTCACACCAGCCAGGGCATATGTAGGCTTATTCTTAAAAGCTACAGTAGCCTGGCCAGCGTGGCTCCATGGTTGAGCATCGACCTATGAACCAAGAGGTCACAGTTCGATTCTCACGTTTTAGCATAAATCAAGGAAGTGGCACCAAACATTACTCGTAGTCATTTGGTCATTCACAGCTACACAATCACAATCTAAAAAAAAAGAAAAATGTTTTGTTGCCCTGGCCCGGTTATTCAGTTGATTAAAGTGTCCCCCCATGCACCAAAGGGTTTCAGGTTTGATCACCGTTCAAGAGGGTGATGTGGAAGGCAACCAATCAATGTTTCTCTCTCTCTCTCTCTCTCTCTCTCTCTCTCTCTCT